TGTGTGTGTGTGTGTGTGTGTGTGTGTGTGTGTGTGTGTGTGTGTGTAATATTTATATGATATGTTCAATCTGTATAACTGATACATTTTAAAAACAATTGAAATATTTTAAAACTTATATGGATAGCATACCTATTATTGGCATTCATTTCTGTTAGTTATAAAAAAATACTGTGATCATATCCTATATAAGCACTGTAATAATGATTTCTTTAAAACCCGCACTTCTACTTTATGACTAAAACGTATAATGTATATATAAGAGAAATAAGTAGGTATATGCAATTATATATGATGTAAATAATACTTATTAAATATACGTGTATTTTGTATGTGTATTGTGTATACATACACTATACAGTAACGAAAAATATCAGACAAAATAATAATTATTCTAAAAATAAGCAATCGACAAAAAATGATTTGATGTGTTAGCTATAGTGATAAACTATAGTAAATATTTGATTGTTAGCTTAAAATATTGTTAACAGATAAATTGAACTTATATTTGTCAACGGTAACAGCAACAGTCAACTGTATGATAAAGTAATTTTATTATAATATTATTATGGTCATCGATCGTAACGTAATAAGAATAAAAAATAAATAAAATAAAAACAAAGAAATAATAAACAACAAACGGAAACACACCCGTTGACGTACGACGGTTCACAAGTGTAATGGATAAACGTGTGCCGTGTATCGAGTTGCGACAAGGAAAAATGGATAATATCTTATTATAAAATAAAAACGTGGCGATAGACGATAGTCCCGACAGTCGAGAGGGAACGCGTTCTTGGACGATGGATGGGCTGCGTGTGTGCGCAATTGGACGCCAAAGGATAAACCAATTCCGTCATTCCTCGCAGCTGCAATATTCATCATCAGCCAATGTGCGTCTCTCATTATACATTTGTTCAACGGACGGGAAAAGACCACGGCTCTGCTGTGTTGGCCTGCAATGCGTTTTCGCAGTATCCGCACAGACCACTTATTGCAGAGCGATTGAAGGAAAGTAGCTCATAATAAATAAAAACCCCAGTGCTTAAACTTCGTACAGCATGACCGCCTTCATTGGATACTAATAAATTCAAACTGATCATCGGGCCATTCATTCGCGCAAGTGCGCGTTGTGAACAGCGATGGTACGTCCAGAAAATTGATCGAACTCTCAGAAATATTACTGGGTTCATCGGAAATGAATACTCGAACATTTCGGACTGCAGTTCGAGAAAAATCGAGTTTGATATCATACAAATATTAAACAAAAAAAAAAAAAATAAAAAAGGAATAGCCGTACCCTGGAATAAATTTCGCGTATTTTTCGTTTGGCCCTCATCAGTTAAAACAGAATGTATTGTTGCTAAAAATTAAAATGGATTATCGAATTGAGTTAAAAGTCTGAATGTTCAAAATGTTCGATTTCGAGTTCGAACGTGTAAAAATTTATGAAATTCAATCCATTCCTAATTGCGGGGACTATAGCAGTAGATTATTCGGAAGCGAGCCCGTGCGACGAACACACTTCTGCAATCCATTCATTGTAGACATCGAATGACGACATTTGTTGTGAACACAGATAATGATAAAACAAATCCAGCTACGCTATGAACCGAAATATTATATTTTAACGCCTCGCACACTTGCGCATCATAGTTACATATTTCGCCAAAAATTTGCATATATTTTTTGTGCTAACGGATATACGCGCGTGTCTTATCACCATCGGACCATGCGGGCTTAAACTTAAGAACCTTACCAAATTTCACTGATAAATTATGTTTTGACGGAAACTCTCAACTCATCCAAATGAGTAACGATTTTTCTCTGTGATTAATTCTAACTTGAACAAACGAGCTTTGTTTGTATTTATTTATAGATATAGATATGAGTAGTACCTACTTGAATTAGAAATAAAGAGACATAATAATATACTAAACATATGTATTCCTAAGTACTCAACCACTTGAATAAACGTCATTTAAGAATATTATAAGAATAAAGAATAATTTATTCTTCAAAAATTTAACTTTCCACTAAAATATAGCACTATAACACCATATTAATGATCATAACTATAAGGTATCAAAATAACAAAATTAATACTCTACAGTATAATCATTAATCTGTTCAGGAAACATATTGAAAATATAATATATCTACATTCTTCAGCATAGCATGCACCTACCTATATATTTATTTATTTATTTTGTTCTTAAGTTTATTAATGGGAATTAATTTCTTCTCGTGTTCTAACTCCTTAACTCGTTGTTGCATAGGGTTACTGAGTAAAAAAATTAGAGACTCACTGGTTAAAAAACGCCAAAGGCACTCATAATACGGAGAGTGTTGGAAGGACAAATCTAATTTTCATTGTTATTACTTATTAGTTATTAGTGTTATTACATATTATCGTCATCACAAATTACGATAGTCTATTATTCTATTATTGTGGAGTCAAACCAAGGAAGAAATAATAGCATTGTACTCGAGGTCACTCTACAGACGCTTTATGTATCACCATTTCTTATAGTCGTACACGCACACATCATAAAAATAGGACCAATATAACTAACTAAATAAAATTAATTTTTATAAAAGTTTTATGGTTGATGTTATTTTTTCATTGAAGTCCGGGCACAGATGTACAGTTTGAGAAAATCTATTGTGAGTCATGTATGAATGGTTTCGTAAAAAGAATTAGAGGTGTCACCGTCTGTATCCAATAATGTGTATAAATGTATAATACTGTAA